GGGGGGGGGGGGGGGGGGGGGGGGGGGGGGGGGGGGGGGCACGAAAAGGTAGAGAGCGTGACTCCTCAAATTCTTTTCACGATGTGTTGAGGAGATATTGAGCCTAAAAGAGTATTGAAAGTACAGGAATAATTCGAATGGTCATCACTTCTAGCTTGTTACCTAGATCAGCACTGCAGTCGGTTGAAGGTGGAAATTAAATTGCTCACAGAATTCGCATCGCTCTTACGCATGTATCTATGGGTTCATATCTTCCCGTCTTCATCATCCTGAGGAGACATAGAAATTTCGAGCTTTGACGTTGGAGCTTTACTTTTATATCAAGCTGTGCAGAATGAAATGTCCCGGATTGGTCAAATACATCGGTGTTACGTCCACTATGAGTTGGGTTTTGTGAAATTAAGGGGTGCAATGTTCGAAGAGGGCAGTTTCGCATAGATTTAGGATTCCAAGTTATTGTTTTATAGAAGCTATGTATGATATAACTTGTATTTCTCTCCAGGGCATAAAGAAGTAGTGTAATAAGCTGACTATGCTCTCATCTGTAGTGCGCTTTCAGGATTCTGCAACTACGATGGAACTCATCGTCAGGTGCTAGGGCAGAAATTGGGCCGTGGTTTGTATGGATTGGATGTGTTCGCTGATTTCGTCTATTTTTCTGATTTCTCCAAAGGCACCGTGGATCGAGTGCACAAGTATACCGGTAGAAATAGAAGTACAGTAATTGCGGGTTTGAGTCATCCAAAGGGCATTCAAGTGAGTGTGTGTCCTTCCCTACTCATTGGTTTGTGGTTACTGCGAATTCTTCTTCTCAACTTTTTATCTATTTAGGTGTTGCATCCGGAAAAGTGGCCGAAAAAAGGGTCAGGCAATCCATGTGAAAGCAATAGTACCTGTGTTCAGCTATGCGTTCCGTCCAACACGAGGCGTAAGTTCTCATTTTGTGTTTGCTATGCTTCATTATTTATTGCCTCGATGGAAGAAAAGCTCAAGCGGACAGCACCGGGCGCTTTTACCTTCACAAACAGATCTGGTTCCAACTGGCCGACCCTGTAAAGATGGAAGGATTGGTTGACCAGAGAGGTAAAAACTCGGGGTTCCCAGACCATCCGTGTGGGAATGCGCTATGTGGGGCTATACCTCCTCGGTCTCTGTGCGGATAGTGATAGTGATAATGCAATTTAGATTTAATTTGAATGGTTTTAGAAGGATATCAGTGTTTGTGCCGAGACGGTATGCGTTACGACGATGGCGAATGTATCTATCTATCACGCCCGTCAACTGGTTCGCATGATATCGGTGAGCTATTTGGCCTTCTAACTATTCCCATATGGGAATAGGTTGGACCTACTTTTGCATACCTATGAGTTTTCAGATTTTGCAACAGTTCGAAATTTTGCGATAGCACTGGTGATCACCACGGCTCTGATGCTGTTCTTCTTCCACAAAAGCCGGTGAGTGCACTGATTCTTCAGATAGGGATCTCACCTATCTTTCATTTAGTCACATACTTACCTAGGTTTTGCATGAAAAGGAAGCGTGAAGGCGGAATTACATCGCCGATACCGTGTATGTCTAGTAAAATCAAGTACCTTATGCCTTTGGAGACTTGGAGATCAGTAAGAGTGGAGTGGCTGTATGTTGCCAAGACATTTCCCGGTGCCAGGGAGTGAAGGTAGACCCTAGGTTCCCATGTACATTTTCTGGGTAATCTTGTCTCCGATGCTTTATGGTCAGTGAGACCACCCTTAGATTTTAAATAAAAGATGGTCGACTGGGGTATCTATAATTGGAGATTTAATTCTGTATTTTCTTGATGTATAACTCTTAAAAATCGATCGTGGTTTCAGCGCCTACATCCTCACCCCGCCATCGACGCAAGGCAATTCTTCATGGGAAGGCCAAGGACAGGAGCGCTACCCATTGAATATAGTAAGCGCTGCGGACGGTGGAATTGAAAATCCGGTTTTCGAGCCGTGTGAGGACACGCCCATGGAAACGGAAGTGGAGGACGAGATGACTAGCTGAAGGCTGGTTGGACAACTGTGAAGATCTTTCAAATTCATCTAGTCAAAAATGTTCAAGATCTGCCATTTATTGAAGGTCAGAGTGCAGATGGACAGTGAAGGTCGCATATGCTATCGATTTTGTCGTCCCTCTGCGTCTCTGACTGCGTACATACTTAAGTCATTGTGACGATTCGAGTAGGCTATAGACTGTGAGTGGATTTTGTGCATGAATTCAATCTGGATGAGATTTGTGGAATCCCTGCCGACGATCAAAAGGATACTGTACCCAGCTTGAATTCGGGCACACAAAACACGCGACGGTCCTTGATCTCGGGTAGTTAGGACCTCGCATTGCTTTATACAAATACACGAGGTACTGTATACTACAGTATTGGCTCTATGTTGTAAAACTTTGTATCTATGTGCTCTAATACATTACGCGTCCTTTAAAACTTCATTTCAGCCTTATCTCCATAATTGCTCAATATGAACAAATTCAAACATGCATTCGTATTTTTGTTCCGTATGATATCCATCTGATTGTTTGTTTGATGATGTCAAATAAAACTGCTCTACATTCTATGCATAATATACATATTGATCGATGTTGATTGTCGACGACTACTTGCCCTAATTCCCATTTTCGAGCAGTTCCATTTGAGACTCGAAAATAACGTCATTTAGTTTCTTCTGTAGTCGTAGAGAGGCAGCACGTGAAAACTCGTCCGAAACTCTGTAATGGTGAGTTTCTATGACAATTTTTCACAAGAAAAGATTGGGACTTGAAATAATGTGAAGATGTGAAAGTAGTAGAATTCACCTGCGTAGTTGAGCAGCAACTATCGCTCCGAACAATTCAAACTCGTCCTGTTGAGGTTGAGACGTGAGGGGATGCCGGCGGTGGTACGCCTAGGAGTAACTTGTGAAGTAGCAAAACAGACAGGTGCTCTTAAGTGCTTAATTTCAACTGCGATTTGTAAAGGGACAAATATTCTGAAGTAAAAGCTTGACACCGATAAGAAAAAATAATTTTCAGTGGAAGGGCAAGACAAGCAGAGCGCCCCGCCCCATTACGGACGAGTTCCTGACGATTGCATGCCGTCTTTTCACAAAATCGAATAACTCGAATTTAGAGAAGAGCTTGTTTGTGGTCTGGTCCAAAATTTAGGTCCATTCTGTGATCAGTATAATATCTTACTATCAAATTCCACCGGCCTGAAAAGGTGTGCTGAACTGAGTGAGCCATGCACTCGTCCAGTCATATGTAAAGCACAGAGGCGGCGCAATTACGAGGTAGGACTTGGTATACCAAGGCTGATCCTTCCAATCAGCTGATGACGCCTCTTGTGTGTGCCTCCTATTTAACATTGTGCATCGAATTCTTGATTTCCTGGGAAGCCCAAGCACGTATCTACCACGTCCAGCCGTTTAACATCGGAGTGGGTAGTAGTGTGTGGGAGAGCAATCCCAGAGTGGTCACAAATCGGGGAGGGGGATTTGAAATTCCCAACCCACCCATTTCATGGCTGCAAGCTGCCCAGTGCAGTTGTGTTGAGAGTTATTGACGTAGAACGGAGTAGCACTTACTCGTTTCCGTCTCGGTTCCTCCTCCTCGTCCATCGAGTGTGCATAGGCAGCATTACTCTTTGTTCCTATATTATCAGCGGCTGTGGTATCAGCACTAGAAACTGGTGGTAAAGCAGGCGAAGGCGGTGAATCGAGCTGTGTGGGAGGCTTTTCTGCCGTAGAGTAGGACTGAAATAAAANAAAAGAGTGAACATATTGGCTGAGTACCGTAGGGATACAGTAATTAGTAAGTACTCACTCCCACCTGAGCGAACAGGGACAGCATCTGTTCCTCACTTGATGCAGCACTTTGATTACTGCCATCATATTGGATGTGATGAAGCTCACTTTTCACCAGATCCAACCTAAAACTAACAAGTGATGTTTTAGATTGATTTGGGTCGACTCCGAAGGAAGTCACTCACCCATGGTCTCTCTGGAGTGCCGCAATGTCGAATATCGGATGGTCGTTGGACAGTCGTTTAGACTCCTTATCATCCAGAAACGACAGCATACGATAGAACTTCCAGGTTGGTTCCTTGAGGGGATCGTCTGTGTATCTGGAAGTTGTTACAAATTTTTATCAAGAAGTTCCTCACTTTCCTGAAGAAAAGGGGTGGGAAGCGAATTCGCACCCGCGTCGCGTTTATAGTTCTCCTTCAACGCGACGCGACCGCTCGCTTACTCCCTCTCATTGGAATGGATGGGCGACTTCCGGGGCAATAACTGGTTGGCAACTCACTTTCCCTCAGAAACCCATCGTAGCTTCCGTACAAACGTGTCCTTGAGGTTTTTCCATTGTGATCGAATATCTTCTGCTGAAACTCATAGAAAATCAATCAATTCAATCAATAACCCACTTAATGGGAACTAGTTTGATCAGTAATGTGGAAATCAGAGTTCACCAATTTTTATCGGAATTATTCAGTTACGTATACTGAATAATTAAGTAACGCCCTCTTGAATGGCCCTACCCACTTCTTCATCGCTGTTTACATAGACAATTAATAAACAACAAATAAGTCATAGAAGTTCAATGTCTTCTCTCGAACTTCATAAATTTCACTCGACAACGTGCAGTTTTTCTCGCACTCGACACGCATGCCCTCATGCTGAGCGAGCACTTGGTCGTTCTTTGGGCTCACTCGACAACTGGCAACGTTTTTATGGGCACTTTGAAACGGGAATTCTCCCGGTTTAGGAAAACCTCGCAAAAAATGATTCGCAACTCCTCTGCTTCACCATAAGGGAATACTATCCAACTTATTCTGATTTATTTCAGTTTGCTAAAAAAAATGATCATTACCTAGGTACAACAAAACACCCTTCTTGCGAAAAAAAAAAATAAAATTTTGATAAATAAGTACGGGTGCAAAAATATTAAATTTTCAAAATGGGGGAAAATTACTTGTTCGCCTAATTTTTTGAAAAAAAGAAGCAATTAAGAATCATAAACCATTAAAGAGACAGTGGCTCCTTATGAAAATCACAAAAAATCGATAATCGATTAGAATAGTTCTAGATTTTTGCGACCACTATCACATTTTCATACTGTAATTTCTCGCCACCACGATTTTTTTTTACAAAATTTTTAAATTATCATTAAAGTGACTATGTTGGGAAGTTCATTGTGGTTTTCACATGCTATGCCGGTAGGATTATGTAGATGGCGAAAGTTACTGGATAGTTTCCATCAGAGGTTCCCATGGGAATAGAACCCTGAGTAGTCAAAGTTAGTTGAAACAAAGCAGCACAAGGGTTTGTTTTATGAATGGCACTACCGAAATGGAGTGAAGTAGGTGGTAATGGAAGGTCTTGAAAAGATGAAAGAAGGTAATGAATGAAGAGGAAAAAAGTTGGTAGTCGGGGTTCAACCTAGAGCGTTCTCCCGGGAGGCGGAGCCTGTCGATGGGCGGAGATTTCGTGGGATAGCCAGCAGATGAGCATGCTCACCTGTGTACTTAGTGCTTGACGGAAATGCTTCATTCATCACATTCGCGATTTCGGCAAAAGCTGCCGCTTTAGCACTTTTGATATTCGAATCGTTCACGGTGGTGTCCCATAGCACCTGGAAATGTCTCATTTCAAGAACCACTTTACACATTCATGGGCTACGAGCTATCGCCACCAAGTCTGATCAACTTTTTTGGACGAGTTTTAACACCTCTGAACCGTTTTTGCTGAGATTAGGGAACCTGTTTGAAAAGAAACCACTGGAATTCTTATCAGTCTACTGATCGAATCAGTGGCAATGCGAATGTGGGAGGAACTGGTAGAGGTGATAATAAAAAGCTTACCCGACGTCCTCGAACCTCTTGAATTAGAAAAGTTCGCGATGGATCTGTCCACTGGGCCATTTCGCTTCGTGGGTGGTAGAAGACTGAAAATGGCAAATCAGGGATCAGATCAACAGTTTGTAAACTACGAAAGTTAAAGGTGAGTAAAAGTAATTAGAAACAGTTGAGGGGTGTGGGAAGTCTTTGAGAACTCGAAAAACCTCAGAAGATTGACTTTCAGCTGAACAACCCTCTGAATTCCTGTCCTATCTCTCGGAACTTGCGATTTCCTTTGAAACCCTTGTCCTCATTCATTTTTTGAGAGAGAAAAGGTTTTAGGCTTTGAATTAGCCCCTGGTTTTTCGACTTAACGGCCCTCAGACACTTAGAAAGGCCATAAAAGGAAAAAAGTCTGATTGACAGCCTTTGTTGAACATTCGAAACGTTTCTTCGCCGGAAAGTCTATTCGAGAGTGACTTCCACTCAGCTATTGAACGGAGGGATCTCAAAGGTTCCGAACGTCAAGCAGCCCGAGTGATATTTGTATCAATCAATGGATATCTGTCATTAGAAAGTTCGAAAAATGAAGAGAAGAAAGGAAAACGAAGAAAGAGATTGAGGAAGGTGAAAGTGACAAAAGGATGACCAAGAAAGTGGAAGAAATTGTACATTTGAAGGTTCTCTGCCAGGTCTAGCGAACCCGCATGACGTCATTGATAAGACCATGCCCGTAGATCATCAAAATATCGAACACCCACGATGAAAAGGTACAACGATCAATTAAGGAGTACCCCACTCCCATTAGAGAGTGGGAGATGATCAGGAAGCCCCACATGGGGATCAGGGAGTAACTCGCAAAAGTGAACGTTACACGGCGACGACGTTGACGTCGACGACCGCGGCGGCGGAATGAATGACGCGCGATCAATTCGTCGTCGCCAGGCCGGCGATGGCGTGGCGACCGCGTCGCGCGACGACTGCGTCGCGGCGCGACTCCGTCTATCTCTGGTGGCTCCGCGGCCGTCGAACTCTATCGGCCGTCTGCGATCTCCGCGATTGTCGCGCTGTATCGCCGCTCGCCTCGTCGCCAAGCGCACCGCGACGACGACCATTGTTGCACTTTCGACGGCCCACACACACACCCCCCATCCCACCCACCCCCCGATAGGCATACCCACATACACACCTCAGCCACCACGTCAATAATGCAGCTGCCACAAACGAGCCAACGGTCAACGCGATGTTGTGCGAATCGGCCGCCGGACACCGGTCGTCGTCGGCTCCTATCGGAGCGCCACCTGTCATCTGGCAGCGGTTTTCGGGTCGTGAATCATTTGTTGAATTAATCAATCACAAATGATATGGACTTGGGAGAGGTTAAGTACACATGTGGTGACATCTTGGGCCCTGCACTCCGTTAGCTGACGCAATTAGCCTGTGGTCAGAACATTTGGATGTTTTTCTTAATCCTTAGATACACCTGAGGTCGCCCTTTCTTCGTGCTCAAATGTGTAAACAGAGAATGGAGCGTGCGATGTTGACAAGTCCTCTGGGGATGCGCCACGCACTCATCTTTCATTCAGATAAGCCATGGCTTTTGAAGGTGTATGAGTTGTAAGTACTGATGTGTGGAACCCAACAGGAGTGCGAATCGGTTTTCTCACTTGTTCGCCTACCCTTTGCGACCAATCTGGTACCAACGAACGGCCCCTTGCAGTCGAAGGCCTTTTTGGCACAAATGTTGTTGGAACAATTTGAGGATCTCAATCGTTCATGTAATAGATACCTCCCTTCGTTCCAATCTTATAGACACCTCTGCTCCTGTCAACATTTTTTTCTCTTTTTGTTGAAGTCAGCCGATGTTGGGTCAGTTTTCCCGATGGTGAAAAGTAGCCTTCCAAGGAGCTTGAGGCATGAAAACTGAGTCAACGAAATAGATCGCAATAAATAGATCGCATCAGCATGTACCACCAACTTGGGACTTTCCTTGTTTTACAGGGATGCTGCCTAGAACTAAAATGAGAGAGTCTACTGTAGTTGTTCAATTTGTTTTTGGGAATGCGCCATGCACTTGACTTCCATTCAGGAACATGGTGGTGCATTGAAGACATATATGGTCTACACAATGGCTCACGGTAGCCAGGCGACGCACAAATCAGTCTTTTCTATCCCACCAAGCGAATTTGATATCATTTGGTCGTGGAGTGATGGAAAGCTTGGCTGGTTCGAGTGGTTGTCGATTCGGGATAGGATCTCCGGACCATGTTTGTGATAATGGGTCAAATAGCACGAGACCTTATTGTGTCCCTATGACGGAGCTTTATCTATAAGCAAATTTTACCATATGGTTTTCGCAGCCATCGAAAGTAGGCAGCTTCTCCTGACCCAAGGATTGGTCAAGGAGCTTGAACGGGTAGGCTGTAGTCGTGATGGACGAACCCGTGATAGTGAGGTAGGCAGTATCCTAGTTAGCTCTTCCAACTTGGACAGCATGGTTTTTTATGGAAAGCTTGGCTATTTAGTGAGTGGGCAGGAGCCCTACTCAGTAGCACTGGTCCTTCGGCTTTGTCGTCAGGGATCGTTGTGAAAATCTTTTTGAACTCCGGATACAACGCAGGGCATTTTTTGTCAAATGGGTTTCTCCTTTTGACTTCACTAACGAGTCTTCTTCCCATGAAAATGAACGGCGACTTGATGTTGTCAGCACACCATTCCCTGTCATGAAATCGGGGAGGAAGATGGAAGTGAGGAAGAGGGCGATCAGCTGATGAGATCGGTTAGCTAGTGGGGGCTCATATGTAGCCGATGCATCAGTCAATTGAATAGACCTCATCCATCAGGGAAAACAAATTACCTTCTTGCATGTTCGCTTGACAACTGTTGCAGGAGATGATGATAAATGTAGGGTGACGATCGGTGATCACGAAAGACCTTCCCAGTGGCGGTACAGTTAGCCAAGGTTCGTGGACGGAATGTGGTATGTATAAGGGAAAACCAGCGGCACGCCCGCCGAGTTCTCCTTTTGCTCTCCTCTGCCCTCTCTTTGAGCTGGTATTATATGGATTTGACTGACGTAAGTGAGACTTCCTTGGAGGTTATTCCAGAGAGTACTGAAATTACTCTTTGATACTATTACTAATCACCGAAAATAAAGTTGGATCAGACTGTTCCACTATCCTCGGCGTCTATGAATCTTATGGGTGAAACGCTGGCTTCGTTCAGTAGAACGGACGATGAGTCGACCAAAAGGACTGGGTCGAAAGTGCCAACATGGTTTTCTCCAACTAACTCTCAGCTTCACTCTTGCCGTACAGTTCTTCATCGACGTGATGGCATGTCGAATTTCGGAAGGAAGAACCGAAGGAGCGATTTATTCTAAGACTCCTGGTCGGCGATTAATTCCCCTAACCTCCATCTGGGGACGCCCTGCGTAGCTTCGTCACTAACCGGCTGGGATCCATCAGCGAGAGAGAACCCTCAGTGAAGGAGATCCGTAGTTTTGCCTCTAATAATCGGTGGTAATTATTAATGAATGACAATAATGATTTCAGCGTTATTTCGGAATAAGCCACACAGTCTTAGTGAATATCACGGAACATGATTACGGTGAGAGTGCATAGACAAGAAAATCTACGAGGATTCAACAGCCCTATTTTATTGATCGATTTAATGAAACCAATTAACAATCAGGACAACTAACCAAGAAATGTCGCGCGATCTAGGTTTGTGAGTGAACTTAACCGCCCATCAGGCATGCTGGAAGGCAACCCTTTTACCTGTTCTTATGAATCGCTTATCGTTCATATGACAATACAAATTTTCAAAGAAATGGACTTCAAAGTCTCGACACAGTAAGAAGCTAGGCAGAGTTGAATGATGCCCCTTAGATCTCAGTTGATCTTCTCAGAGCATTTATTCGTCCCCTGTTGTGGTACGTTCGTTAGCGGGAATGGAGAGACATTGATCTGGGGTAGGACCCAAGAAATACTCATACGTGTAGCAGCGGTGAAACGCCTGCCAGGATTGTAGGCTTGAATGCAGACCTTAATTCCTATGGCTAAAATCGGTTCGTGGCTTTGGCATGCCCCGTTTGGTACTGCATTCCCAGAGAAGGTGGGCTTTGCCACATCGGCTTATCGGCTCGATCTTTCACGTCATTGATTACTTGATTTTTTTAAACTCATTTGCACCTAATCAGGATTATGACGGGTATTTTTAGGTTCCCTGAGCTACTGAGAGATCACTTATCTCAGTGATTTGCTGGACAGAGCAAATACGTTCCTAATCAAATAGTCAGCTTTGTTATCTGAGCAGGAATTCTTGAGTCATACAACGAATAAAGACAAAGGAAAAACCCTAGAGGAAAGGAAAGAATGAACCGAATTTATGAACAGAAACAGGAATAATGATGGGAAGTGACTTGGCTCAACGTTGTCATAACCGACGTGGCACTTGGAATCTGACCAGATTTTATTTCGGATCAACGCCTACATTATGAAGGCACAGACTCACAAGAAACGATCTACATGTCTGATGGTAAGGGCTGGATCACCGAACCAGCCCAAGAAAAGTTTCCGTTTCTAAGTGTCAGTAAATCTCGTGTGATTACTTCTAGGATGAAATAAAGAGTCGAACAGAGAGCATGGCGTACTCCGAGCAGGGACGATATTTTGTGTTCCCTCGTCAACAGAGGTGTGTTTGCGTTTGATAAGAAATCTTTGCAGAATGTGAACAAGGTGCAATCGAAGGCGATCATTGCTAAGCGGGGATTAGTCCTGGAGGGCGGTTTGTGAGGGCACAGGTGCTGTACTTACCTTGGTATAAAAGTATATTTTGCGAAGTTCCACGAAGAAAGCTTGGCATTCGTTAACAACTCCAACGTCTTGCTCTTTTACGGACTGCACCGAACAAAGGGGTGGAGCTTCAGAAACTTCGGACGATTTGTGCTAGGCGGTTACGTCAGCAAGTGACGCATCGAGGTATTAATTAATTTATTTATTTCATAAGCTATATGAGACAGCGTGAGAAAAGCAAGAAGTATAGAACTAAGAAGAAGGCAAGCAGTAGTATTAGGCTTACTCAAAGGTGACGGCTTACCACTTAACGTATAGGCGATGCTGTAAGGGGGAAGTGATTACCGTAAATATAGTTTATGAGTAAATTGACTTGAATCAGTATGTATGTCAGTAGACCTCAAAAATCATTGTGGTGACCTTAATTCTATCGAATGGGTTGGTCATCAGGTGTCAGCATAACAATGGCCACCTGCAAGTCTTATTTCGCTTGAAAATTAGGTCTACCGAATAGTCTATTCTTCAAGTGGTCAGTATGATTAGGAGAAAATAAACAACAATAACTTTTGGGAATTTTTTGCAAGAAATTGGTTTAAGTCTCGCTATAATTTCGAATATAACTGAGGTACATGGCGCATTCCAAAAATGTAACAATCAAAGCAGGACTTTCTTTCTCTTAATACTTTGATATTTTTATGACAGAATTGTAAATTTTGAGGGTGTCTTTACGACCGTATTTTATTGACTTTTTTTTTATTGAAAACGAAGTATATATTTTTTGATATCCATATGTAATCAAGAAACTGATGAAGCCCTATTCATAAACAGTCATCCATTGAAATTCATTGAATAATTAAATTCTAAATCAGTTCCTCCAATATCATTACGAATTATAAAATATATATAGTTTCTTGATCTCAATCAATATGCTCGTAAGGTGTAAGACAACTTCAATCGTCAATCACTCCTCTTTTGGGGATGCGCCCTGCAGGTGGCTTCCATTTGGAATTGTGGTGACGATTTGAATGTGTATGCGACCCATGCAAGATGTCTTGAGGTGATCAGCCGATGTACAACTTACCAATTAGTGATTTCATCCTCTCAGATGATTCTGGTTTCAGTTTACCGATTCCAGGGGATTAGAGGCTTGGTTGGCCCGGGCGAGTGCAGATCCCTGGATTCGATCGCTTGATCGCTTGGCCGATGGTGCGCCGCTCCATTTCCGCTCCACTTTGTAGTACACTATATTCATTTCCAAAACGAGTAGCTTAACATGTTCAAAAAATCTCAGGAAGTGAACTATCTTTCGAGACAAGAGCATTTTAAAAGTAACGGTCTCTCCGAATTACGGTATTCCCAATTTTATACAGTATTTTTCTTACAAAAAATTAATTTTTGCCTATATCCAAGGTTCCTATTCATTCTTTCCCAGGATGGGGACTTACTCGTAGTTGATAAATTTTCAATGAGATGTGGGACCATTTCTGGCTTATTATCGAAAAATTCCAGTAT